TTGTTCTTCCTTAACTGTAGGCTACCGCCAGAATTAATTTTTTTTTTCTTTTTTTTTTCCTTTTTTTCTGTTAATGAAGAAAAGAAAATTAATAAAAGAAAAACATCACGCTTCATATTTATTACATTTTTTTATATTTAATATAAATTATTTTAATAATATAAATAATCTAATCACTCCAATCATTACCTATCAAATCACTATCCAACAAAACCTTCCAAAACCAAATAAAACCTACTACACCAAAGGAACCCAGATTCCAAAACTCCTAAAAAAATTTTAAATCCAAACCAATTTCAAACTCAATCTTCCCAATCCCAACATAAAGAAACACACGTGTTTTGTGTAGTGAACAAGATTGCATTTAATCGTCCCATCATGCTTCCAACTATTGAAACTTCTCGAGTCGACTTTGGCTAGTATTTGGGGGCTGATTCTCGAAGCAAACACTAATGCTTTTGATATTGTTGTTGATAATGTTGATATTGTCGTTTCTGTCTATTACTTAATTTTTATTCAAAATTTTATACTTTTCAATAAACTACTAGACGAAATTAATATAAGACTTATAAATTGTTAATTTTCTTCTAATTTTTCCAACATAAACTTTAATTTGCAATATATGTATGAAGTAATTGCATATGGAATAATATATTCGTAATTTAAGTAAAAATTGAATATTTTGGTATGAACATGTGATAAAAAGGTAAAAAGGCACTTTGAATTATTAGAACGAATGCAAAATAAAATTCAAAGTTTGAAAATATAAATAAAGAGGGCTGAGATCATCACCAAAACTCAAAATCCATAAACCTTTGGATTCAAAGATCAATCATCTTCCGGAGCATTGGCACTCCCAATCTTCTCCAAATACGAATCAATAACTCCGACGCTGCTCTGCTTCATCTTAATCGGCGAAGAAATCACCTTAATCATCACACAAAACACCAAATCTCTGAATTCATCATCGTCTCTAACACAATTCTTGAATCTGTCGCCGAGGCTATAAATCCGCAAAGTAAACATAATATAACCCGAATCGCTCTTCTGGTAGAGGTAGCAGAAACACTTCCTCTTCCCTATTTCATGTCCTTCGCCATCATACACACATTCTTCCAATCCATCGCTTTTCCAGCAAACTTTCCCACATTTTCGCAAATTCGGATCGTCCCCACGCTTCTTATCATTGGCTAGAAAGTAAATTTCTTTATTATAGGGATGACCGTCGAAGATCACCCATGGATCGCCGAATGCGTCCAAAATAGGAAGCTCGAATTCGAACTTCCCCGGCAATGTGACTCTCTTTCTAATCCTCTTGTTAAGAAGATAGAGTATGATTTCTTGATCGGAGAGTCGGAAACCAATGCCGTATGCTGCATCGTTGACTACGGCGACACAATCCGACCAAGTATTATTAGCAATAACTCACGATCGGATAATTTGATCGAGGTAGTTGTTCACATCGAAGCAGCGATTGGGTTTTGTTGGAATATCTTCTACATATCCGGGGAGGACGGGCTCTGCAGCGACGACGCAGAGCGCGTAGTGCCGCCATTCGTAGTCGACGTGGGCGAGCAATTTGTCGGCGAGGGTGTATTCTCTTAGGCTGTATTGGTAGCTAAAGCTGCCGGAGTTTTTCTCCGACGAGTAGTAGAAGAAGCACATTCTGGCGCCGATTTCTTCACCTTTATCGTCGTATACGTTGGTGGTTTTGCTGTGATGTTGCCATCAGCCTGAGCCGCATCGGCGCTGTTGATTTAGCCGGAGTTTTTTTGGTGCTGGCTAAACAGTACATTCCCGAACTTCCCAAGTCGGCGTAGTGGCGGAGGAGCTCCGGCGGGTCATGGTCGCCGTATATGTCGAGAATTGGGAAATTGCGTTTGAGGACGGCGGGGAGTGAAACTTTGGTTTTGCGGAGGTGGTTGAAAAGGCAGAGAATGATTTCTTGTTCAGATAATTGAGGTTTCGCCATTGCTGCCTGAAAGTGATGATGGGAATGGAAGCAGGGAGGAAGGAAGATCAGTTGTTCTTATGGAAGAAGATGTTGAATTAATCCTGGCTCCCTCTCGGGATGACTTAGTCTTTCATTTGAATAAGTTTTGGTAGTTTTTGTTGTACTATTATTAGATAAATAAGTTGCATATGTTATGTTATTTATTGGTTTATCCATTCTTTCATTTCGTATGATAATTTTCAATATACTCAAAATTTTAGTATTAAAACTCTTAGTAATATATAAATAGTTAAACTATTGACAATTTTTATAATTAAAATTACAATATAATATATTAGTATTTTTATTTCATTTCTTACCCAATGAGTGTTATGTAAAATATTGTAACAACTTATTAGACACATAATATTTGTTGAAGATTTAATAGTGTGAACAAATATGATTGATAATAATAATAATAATAATAATAATAATAATAATAATAATAATAATATGTTACAATTCCACTCATTGAGTGTCATGTAAAATATTGTAATAACTTATTAGACATATAGTATTTGTTTTTGAAAAGTTAATAGTGTGAACAAATATTGTTAATAATAATAATTATTATTATTATTATTATTATTATTATTATTATTATTATTATTATGTGTTACAATATCACGCCTTGAGTGTAATGTAAAATATTGTAACAATTTATTATATACATAATATTTATTTTTGAAGAGTCAATAGTGTGAAAAAGGGTGTGTTTCACAATTAGCTGATAACTTTTAACTATTAGTTGATTCAATTAGTTCAATTAGATGGTTTGACTAGCTGATTCAATTAGCGATTTGTACTAAAATGTTTGGTAAAACAAAATAACAGTTATGCATTAGTTGTTTGTACATAAAATAACTATTAAGGACATTGATAAGTTATTTTAAAAAATATTTAATTTTGTTCATTTTGATTTGAAATTTATGAGAATTTTTTTATTAATTATTGAAAATTATAAAAATATTATAAAATATTTATTTTTATTTTTATTATTTATAGTCGTTGCTTTTACCCCGTTACCTCTTTTATCTCTTTCATCCACGTCATATTAATCTCAATATTCAAATTATTTCATTTATTACCCGTTATAGTAAATCACCTCCAACACATTACCTTTAGTATTTTATAGGACCCACAATAATTTATTTATTTCTATATATTTTTATTACATGAAATATATATTATTTATTTATACATATTTTTATATATTTTATTTTCTAGTAATATTTTTATATAATATCATATTTTAACTTTTAAATATTAATTTATGTAGATTTTAATAATTGAAAATATTCGAAATAAATCAACATATATATTAATTTGAAAATAATATAAAAAATAACCCCCGCATATAATATAAACATATAAAATAAATATATTAACAATATAATTTAAGAATTATTATTTTTATTGCTAAATCGTATCCAAGTATGCTCAACCAAGTCAGCACATAGACTATGGTGAACTTCACTATTGCGTAAGACATAATTTCTTCGAAGATATTATGCAAATTTGGGGGTTCCACCTTGTACAACCTCAATAGGCTTATCCCCATCATCATGTAGCCCATTTGTAGCCATTGGACCTTTATCTTCAAGAATCACATTATGCAGAATAATGCACGTTAACATTATATATTTAAATTTTTTCCTATGCCAATACAGTGCAGGTCCTCGAATAATTGTTTATCTAGCTTGTAAGACCCCAAATGCTCGCTCCACATCCTTTCTCGCAGATTTCTGTCTTTCTTTGAATAATTTTCATTTTGGGCCTTCTAGGCAAGAGAAAGCTTTAACAAAAGTAGACCATTTCGGATAGATTCCATCTGTAAGATAATATCCATGAGAATATGTTGTTTGGTTCACGGTAAATTGAATATTTGGTCCACTCCCTCGTATAACTTCATTGAATAACGGCGACTCGTGAGAACATTGATATCATTATGTGAACCTGCAACACCAAAAAAAGCATGTCATATCCATAAATCTTGAGAAGCGACAGCTTCAAGCACTACTGTGGGAGATCCATGACCTCGTGTAAATTGCCCTTTCCAAGCCATTGGACAATTCTTCCAAACCCAATGCATACAATAAAGACTACCTAACATACCCGGAAAACCATGTTTGCCATTGTGCAAATGAAGAAGATGATTAACGTCATCTTGATTTGGCCTCCTGAGATAGCGTTCACCAAACAATTCTACAACAGCTTCACAAAAGTTGAAAAGGCATTTGATGGAAGAGGTTTCACACTCGTCCAAATAGTCAGTTGAAACTCCATAAGTCAATTGACGAATGGCTGCAGTGCACTTTTGTAATGGAGACAATCCCGATCGTCCCGTTGCATTTGCTCTTTGTTGGAAAAAAGGAGAAGAACTATGTATTACTTCAACTATACGGTTGAACAAATTTCTTCGCATACGAAATCGTCGATGAAAAATATAGTCAGGATATACAGCATTTTCAGAAAAATAATCTTGCACAAGTCTAGCATTCCCCTCTTCCCTATTTCTCTTGATCATTCCCCTCTTCCCTATTTCTCTTGATCATCCTACATCGTCGTATTTTCGGAAACTCTTTTTCCAATAATTGACGACCAATTGCAATGAACATCTCTCCCGGAGAACAATGTTCATTTGTTGATTCAAGTGATGTGTTGGAAGTACAACTTTCAGAATTTTGAGACATGATGATGAAAACCAAAAAAAGAAAAAAATTGAATTAGATAAAAGAACGATGAAAGTGAGATTACATATTTTTATAGTTGAATTTCTATATTAGAGATTTTGAATTTGAAATTCATAAAACAAATTCTTAACGTTGTTTGCAAAAATTTAGCAAATCTTGTTTATAATTATTTTAAATTTCATATCAATTTAAGTATAAATATATATCCGTTAATCACCAATATATGACGTTATTTGCATAAATTCGTTTAAATTTTGAATTAAAACATTTATATTTTCAATAACACCATCAAATAACAATATTTAAAAAAATAAGATAAGAATTAGATAAATCCTTCAATTCATTCACCATCTACCTGCGTGCGTACATACATACATACATAATACTATATTAGAGAATGTATCAAGTCTCAATGCAATATGAAATATATTCAAATAAAACCAGAGTAACAATTCATTCTTGAAACACATAACATACATTGTCTTATTTTTTAAATTATAATGCACGACACGCATTATTGATAATCCATACCCAAAATAATCACATTATTTTATTTTTGCGAAGCCCTCCACTTTGTCATAAGTTGACCTACGAAAATACTATAAATCTCACGTTGCACGAAGTATCCTGCATCACGATGTTCCATTCTTGAATTTTCCTCTCTTCTGCTTTAGCATCGATCTCCTTTTGTTTTAATTTGATATCCTTTTGTTTCAATTCATTGTACTTATCGAATCTTTTGTAGTAATCATCAAATGCCTCTCCTTTGGGTCCTTCACTAACTTTACCTTTGCCTTTTGCTTTTATTTTTGCAGCTTTATTGCTGATTGGACGAACTGCATTAGTATTTAGGTTGAATTCGATGTACTGCGCTCCTGTTGATGATTCATGATATGTAATCGCATATGATGTTCTCGCCTTTTTTGAAGAAGAAAAATCTTCATTCATTTGTGGTTGGAACATTGGCTCTTCTTTTAGAATTTCCCACACATGTAGGCAGCTAAAGTTGGTGCCACATTGCGATTTATATTTCTCAAGTGCCATTGCCAACAAATCTTTGTCACTATGACCACTCCTATATTCACTTGCGATCACATTATAGCATGCGTTGAAAGCGTACACTTTTTTCTTGATGTGGTTGTACCAACGTGATTTCATCGTGCCTAGCTCTCGCCCTATCATCGATTCAGATTTATTGTCATTATAGTAGGCATAAACCCGACTCCAAAGCGCATCACCATCTTGATTGTTGCCAACAATTGAATCGACACTTATAGTAACAAAAGATTTCGCCAATAATATATCCTTATCTTTTTGCCATTTTTTCTTTACGTCTTTGCCAATGGCTTTGGTCTTTTGTTTTGACTCTTCTGCGGCGATCTTATCTTTCTCTAGGTTACAAACTTCTTCTGTATTGTATGGCGTAGCCGTCTAGTTTGATGTTTGTGTGCCAGACAGCTTTGACATTGGTCTACATTGAGACATTATTTGAGCCGGAGACTGCATAAGGTAATGCATGATGTACGGATTCATCAATGTTGATCCCTACACATTATGAGAGATAGATGGAGATTGAAATATTTGTGCGTTGGATGGCATTTGAAAAGATGGTGGCATATGGAATACTCGCGGGATTGGTGGTATTTGAAAATTTGGATTATCAAAAAAAAGCTTGGTTTAATCCATTGCCTAAGAAAGTTTCATTTCCAACGGTTGATTTAAGAACTGATTGAAAATATTAGTATTTTCACTGGTCATTTGGTGAATATGAAAAAGTAGATAATTGGTTAATGAAATTTAAATATATTTATAGATAATTTATGTTAAATTTAAATTTTGAAATTTCAAAAAATTTTGGATAATTTTTGGATAATTTTTATTTTTGTTGAAGGTAATGAGTTGTTCATCAAGGTAATAAATTTTGATAACTGTATTTCTTATCAAAGGCAATGAGTTTTGTTGTAGTAAAAACTGAAAAGACAATGATAAAGGTAATGAAAAAGTGATGCTCTTGGTTATTGAAAATCGTAAAATTGTTATAAAATAGTATTTATTTTTATTATAGTTAGATTTTAAAAAATAATATATTTTTATTAAAAAATATAAATAGTTTTTTTTATTATTATTGAAAATGATGTAAAATATAAAATAATAAATTTTTCGTGTATATATTTATTATGTTAATTATCGATTAGTTCATTATATTTATAATTTTCAATAAATTTAATTTATTTTTAGTATAAAATTTATACAATGTAATTTTAATATAAAAATAAATTAGTTATATTTATATTTTCTATTTTATGTTGATTTTAATAAATTTATATATTTTACAATTAAAATAATATATATATAAATTAATTATTTTAAATTTATAAAAGTAAAACTATAATCTAATAAAATATTCTAATATAATTAATAAATAATTATATCCTATTCTATCCTATCCTATATATATAACTATAGTAAAGGGTGTGGACTCGCATTTTAAAATTTTGGATTTTTCAGCAAAAAATAAAAAGAAATACTCAGTCAAATTTTATAGTTTTACTCAAGTTTTACAGTTTTTTTTGCAGTTTTTTCCTCTCATAATCACACGTATTTCTTTGAAAAGAGTTTCATATTACGTTTTCAACTATTTGCCTCCTTAGAGAATTTTCATATTTTGTTTTGGGTTGAAGAATCTGGTTCTTTGAAGAGGGTTTCAGATTAAGCTTTCAACTCTTCAGACAATTTTCATATTTTATTTTGGGTTGAAGAATCTGGTTCTTTGAAAAGATTTCAGATTAAGCTTTCAACTCTTCAGAGAATTTTCATATTTTATTTTGGGTTGAAGAATCTGGTTCTTTGAAGAGATTTCAGATTACGCTTTCAACCTGTCGCATCATTTGTTTCCTCAGAGAATTTTCATATTTTGCTTTGGGTTGAAGAATCTGGTTCTTTGAAGAGATTTAAGATTACGCTTTCAACCATTTGTCGCCTCAGATATTTTCATTGATACGCATTTGTCTCCTGGGTTGGAATCTGGTTTCTTTAAGAAGGTTTCATACTACGGTAGAGAATTTTCATTGATACTCATTTGTCTCCTCAGAGAATTTTCATATTTTGCTTTGGATTGAAGAATCTAGTTGAATATTACAGAATAATTTGTATCAAGGTAATTCTGTCGTTATTTATACATTTCATAAATTCAGAACAATTTTCATATTTTTCTACATTTAATTGTTAATTATTTTATTTCAATTTGTTAATTGTTACTTTGTTTCCATTTTTTTCTTGTCATGCAATTCTCAACAAATATGATGCTGACGGTAGAGTAGAGTGTAGATGCATTTGGATCTGAAGTTCTGTGGTAAATAACTTTAATTTAAACTGCTTAACTATGCCTTATTTTATTTATTTATTTGAATAATAGTGATTGAATTAAAGAAAATTAGGACTCTCTGTCTCTGGTGTAGTCCACTCAGGTGGATCCACCTTTTTTTTTTTATTTTTACTGATTACTTACTTCTTTCTAATAAGTATATATATATTTCTTATCTATTTAGAATACGATGAAGAAAATAACTCCTTTTAAAGCAACATCATCAAATAAAGATGAGTAATTTTTTTATAAATAAATAATTATAATTTTTCTTTAATAATTTATCTTGCACATCATTATTGTGTCTATATATATATATATATGATATAAAGTATCAAGTTGTTAGTATCTTTATATCTCTTTTTTAGATAGTTTTATGGAGAAAATTTAGATATATTTATATATTTGTTTAGATAGTTTTAGTATTTTTTAGAAAGATAATGGATATGTATTAATTAAAAATTTTGAATTACTTATTTTTTTCTAATAAGTAAATATATATTTCTTATCTATTTATATTTATATAAATGGAAAAATAATGCAAAAAAAATATTTGACTGCATTTACAAAAGGAGCATCTCTAGTGTTTCAAGTTATGACAGTGATTAGTGTGAAAAATATTCACATATTTTGAAAAGACCTTAACAATTATAACTATTTTTTCTATTTTTTTTTTTTGAAATTATATATTTTTTTTTCGTGATTTATAAAATAACTTACTTAAATGTTATGATTTATATTAATACGATTCCATTTACAATATTTTATCTACTTTTATTTATATAGTATAAAAATAATTTTATTATATATATTTATTTTATAAATTATAAATAAATCATATATGCAAAATTTACGAAACATATAATTTCATTACAATATTATTTTTAACATATTTTAATTATATATATACCCGTGTATAGCACAGGTTTAAATGCTAGTATATATCTATACCAAAGGGTGAGATTCCTGCAATCTCGGATTTTTGGAGTTTTATTTTTATTTTTGACTTTTTTACATTTTTAAAGTCTATTAAGTATAGTTGCAGTTTTCTTAGTTTGTTAGAGAATTTATTTTTTTATAGTAATTTTTAAATTTTTAAAAAATTTATTTTTAATTAACAATATTTTATAATTAAACTTTTGTCTTCTATTTTAAACAAAAATATTTTAAATAATGATTATTTACTTTTCAATTATAAATCTTAGTATTTATAAATATCCAAAATTATGTGTGATATAAAATTTCTTCAAATAATAGTTTTTTTTTAAGAATAAATAAACATGTTCAATTTTCATTATACAGTTATTTTTATAAGGTTTCATTTCATTCCTTATTTTAAGTGTTAGTGTGTATATACAGTTTTTAAAAACTTGATCATTTACAGTTTAGTTTAGATAAATTTTTTTCAAAAATTAGTTTTTATACGGTTTCTTTTGGATTTGTTTTTCTTTCACACATTTTCGCAATTATTTTGCATATTCTTCTTAGGGAGTTGTTTGAGTATTTCTCTCTAATTTGTAGATTTCTTTTTCACATTTATTTTCTATATTCTTCTTGTGAATCAATTGTACATTTGTTTGAGTATTTTTCTTTAATCTTTGGATTTCATTTTTTTTCTATTTACTAAATTATTTTGTTTTTGTTGTTTTTGCAGACCCTGGAAAATACGAGATCACCACTGTTCAAGGAGATTGCCCCTGTAAAATGCTCAAAGATTTTATTATTATCGACTAAAGTTATCTCAAAGTTAAGTATTGTTAATCAATAAAATAAATTGAAAATCTATATTCGATTTTTCCTCGCAAAATAGTTTATTTGCTTAATGCTCTGTTTGTTAGATATTCTTATTTTTAGATTATCATATAAAATTTTATTGTAATTTTAATTATTTCTTATTTTAGCCAACATTGTTTGTTTTGTTTTTTTGATCATAAGGTAATATTCATTCATAGGTTGGACGTTTTAATCGATGATTAAACTTGAACACAATATTTCAGATAAATTATTTAGAAAATTTTATTTATATTATTTTAATTATTTTAAATAATTTTAGTCGGTTTCAAATTTTTAAATATTTTTTTTAATTTAAAAAATTTATATATAATTTAATATTTATATTTAATTTCAAATAAAAAATTTTGATAATTGTTGCTGACATTTTCCCTTGTAAACTTACATATTAATTTAATAAGATGCTTTTATTTTATTTACTGAATGTTTTTATTAATTCTATTGTATATTATAATTAATTTACTGTTATATATTAGAAATTATTTATAAGTTAATTTTTAAAATTAAAAAATATAATTTTTTTATAGTGAATTTCAATGACTCATATAGCTAAAATATTATTTGAATGAATGTTTATAATATAGCTTCCATGTAAATAAAATAAAAAATTTAATAGAAAAATATAAGAAATGACAATTTATAGAAGAATTATAATATTAAGATGATAAAGTATAAACATACATACATATTATTTCTTTTAAATATTTATAAAATTAGATAAAAATAATATAACAATTAAATTTAAATACTTCCTCTGTCCAACAAGAAGGTTGACATTGGCTTTTTGTGTGTTAATTTTTTAAGATTAATTATAATATCAATACGTAAGAAAAGAAAACAAAAATATATTTAATACTCTCTTATAATACATATACAATGATATTTGTCGAGTAAATTATTCAAATATAAGGATATTTTTAATGTTAAGTATAATGACGCAAAAACTATATGGCAACCTTCTTGCGGGACGGGAGGAGTATAATAATTCCGTGCATAGCACGGGTTTGACACGCTAGTGTGTATATATATATATATATGTATGTATGATTCTGCTCCATTTCTGAACTCATACTTCTTACACAAAACTCAGACAATACACAGTGCAAGTAAACAAATGAAAACAAACTAAATCGAAGATATCAAAAGGATGATAGTCAATGCAGTGATGTGATCTGAGAATTGAGACAGACATTAGAACTTATAAAATAGTACCTTTGGATTGATCGAAGAAATGGAGAAAAACAAAGGACAAAGAGACCACATGTGTTCTTGTCCCTCTTCTTCTTCTCCTAGAGCAGCAATTCTCCACCAGAATTGGCGGCGGAGGCCATTTAATTTTTCTAAACCTGGGACGAATCGATGCAGGAGGCAAAAAGCAGCGATAGAGAAGTGAAGGCGGGGAAGAATACAGCCTTATCCACTTTTTTCCTTGCCCTACAAATGTTTAAGGACATATTTATTCTTCCCAATTATTTTTGTCGAAAAAATTTAAAAGATATCAGAGCCAGGTTTCGATCCTGGGACCTGTGGGTTATGGGCCCACCACGCTTCCGCTGCGCCACTCTGATTTTTGATATTTATTTTAATATATAAAATTATATATTATCAATGTAACTAATATATTGACAGCTAAAAAATACTTGGGTGTTCTTCCCAAGGGGTAGGGGAGTCTGGGCAAGGGTATTTAGCAGTGAAGACGACCGATACCCATTGACAACTGACCTAGGAATATTCAATTCGGTTCCGAGCCTTTTCCTTTTTTTTGTGAAACCAATCTCATCAAGACCAATAGAACGAGATCGATTCAGTGAGGAAATAAAGGAGGGAGAGGGATTCGAACCCTCGATAGTTATTTGTTCAGAACTACAGTCCCTTAACAATCTATTCATTTTTTATTTTGGTATGTCCCATGAAAAAAATTAATTTTTTTAGTAATTGTATTATATACCTAACATTATAAAAACATCATTTCAATTTAAAATATATTATACAAATATTATTACTTTTATATCATATAATACTAATAAGTTTAGTTTAGTCTTTTCTTTTATTAGTCTTTCCACTACTACTACATCCCAATATAATACTAATATTTTTAAAAATCTATACAAAAAAAACAAATGAATAGATAAATATGAGATAAAGAAAGTATTAGATAATGAGAAGATTACTTATTTTAAATAATATATATATAATTGTGTTGTAGAAACGAGTTTGAATTTGTCCAAAACATATTGGAATTAAGATCCCAACAAATCTATTAACATAAATTTTAGATCAAAACGCCACAAAAAGTCATGATTATTGCTTGACCTTTATCACTTTAGTCTTTTAATCACGTGACAATTTACAATAATAGATATTGACGTAGCTTAGTTAATTTTTGCAATTATTAGAAATAAATATATTTATATATTGATTTAATCCATGTCAATATAGTGCTATTATGTCAGTAAACGTGATAATATTCTAGTTGTAGAAGATATTTTCAATGTCTGCGGATTATATACAAGATTATTTCTATATAAATTTGAAAATAAAATGACAAAACTGATAAGAGACATTACAAACAAAACTAAAAAAAAATTCCTTTTTTTTTTTATAATGGATTCATCTATATATGGAACTACATTGATAAAAACATCAAAGGTGTGTGCGTTTTAATACTTTTAAAAGTTGAAAAGTAGGTATTAAATGTAACAATTTTGAAGATAAATTTAGAGATTGCACAATAAAAAAACATTGGTAAAAATTTTAAAGAGAAAAAATCGCAAGTTGATTATTACTATATTTTTATGACTATGTGCCTCGATTTTCATGTATAGTTCCACGGGGATTTCACAAATTGTGGGGCTGAGGCAATAATAAACTAAAAGACACTATAATCATATATATATATATGTATTTTTATATTAAAATTTCAGTCCCACAATGACATATTTTATCATTTTGGATGATTTGGGAATTCGCAGTCGTTACCCGAAAGTGCGCACTGGGTAAACCTCCGACTGAATCTAATACCCTGCAAAGTAGGCCCAAGGAAAAAATCACACTAGACAAATCATGTGTGGCAGGTGGACATAAAGCGTCAGGAGTAGATCATTTATTGCTTGAATGATGGGTAGATCACAGAATAAACTGTAAAGAAGGAAAACTGCAAACAACAAACAAGCTTATTTAAATATTTTTCTTATGGTACTTAGTTACTTTAATTTCATATTAAAAAGATATTAACTAGTTTAATTTCTTTACAAATTATTAAATTATTTGTATTATATGAGGTTGTTGATTATAACCAATAATAATAATAATAATAATAATAATAATAATGGCACGGATAGCTATTAGCAGATTCAATTAGCTGGGTTGGCTAGCCGATTTGATTAGCTATTTGTATTAAAATGTTTTGTAAAATAAACTCTTTGATATTAGCTGTTTATACGTAAAATGACAATCGATGATATTTCTATTTTATTATTTTTCTAATAATTCAATTGTGTTCACAGTGTGAACAAATATGGTTAATAATAATAATAATAATAATAATAATAATAATAATAATAATAATAATAATGTGTTACAATCTCAGTATCTCACCCCTTGAGTGTCATGTAAAACATTGTAAAACTTTATTAGAAACATAGTATTTGTTCTTGAAAAGTTAATAGTGTGAACAAATATTATTAATAATAATAATAATAATGATAATAATAATAATATGTTACAATCTCACCCCTTGAGTGTCATGTAAAATATTGTAACAACTTATTAGATATATAGTATTTGTTGTTGAAGAGTTAATAGTGTGAACAAATATGGTTAATAACAATAATAATAATGTGTTACAATCTAACCCATGAGTGTCATGTAAAATATTGTAACAACTTATTTTACACTTAGTATTTGTTGTTGAAGAGTTAATAATGTGAACAAATATGTTTAATAATAGTAATAATGTGTTACAATCTAACCCATGAGTATCATGTAAAATATTTTAACAACTTATTAGACACATAGTATTTGTTGTTGAAGAGTTAATAGCGTAAACAAATATGGTTAATAATAATAATAATAATAATAATGTGTTACAATTTCATTTCATGAGTGTAATGTAAAATATTGTAACAACTTATTAGACACATAGTATTTGTTGTTGAAGAATTGATAGTTTGAACAAATATTGTAATAACTAATGAAACAAATATTAGAAACTATCTTCTAACACTCGATCCTGAGCTCCAAATTTCTTCAACAATGGTGGATTACCCGACGAGGTTATGCGAACATGAAATGGTCCTCTTGTTTCTCAACAAGGTGAGGACAATCGGAGTGACTCTGCCAGACACCATCAATTTCCATGTTCCGACACTCGACCTTTACGGTGGCCAATCGCTTTCGGAGCTCTTCCACCGCCATCCCTACAATCAAGACATTTACTTTTTAACGAAGCTACAGCTGTACGGCGACCCTCCTCTCCACGGCTCCGGGAACTGGCGGAGGCGGGGCTGCAGAATCAATGTGTACGCCTCCGGCCAATGCATTATAGGGTTTCGAGAGAGTTACGTGGTCGAGGGAGAAGGCGAAATACGTTTTGAGAGAGTACGAAATGGCTGAGAAGTTTAATGTTTGTGTCCGAGATGATCGGAGAGATTATGTGTTCTGTTTAGTGAACAAGATTGAGTTTAATCGGCAGATCATGTTCCAAACTATTTTCGTGGCTAGAGTCGATGTTGGCGGGTATATGGGGCAGATTCTTCAAGCAAACACTGAGGATGACAACGACGACGACGACGACGAGGAGGATGATTGAATGAGGTTCAGGGATGGATGTCGATGGATAATATAGCTTTTAGTGTTGATTCTTGATTGTAGTTTAGGCTTTTGATCTTTTGATTCTTGTTTTTGTTTGCACTTTATAGCTTAGCGGTGATTCTTGATCATAGTTTGGGAATTTGATTCTTGTTTTTCTTTGTACTTGTTGTTCTTCAACGATGCATCACTTTGTGGATATGCAAAATTTGTAGATGGAAATTGATTTTAGATTTCAGTAGTGTATATGTACGACACAAAAATATAAAAACAATTACCATATATATATATATATATATTTTTTCACATGTCTAGTAGTTTCTCCTAGTCATTTTATCTTACCTACAGGGAGACATTGTTTCGTTATTTGTAATTATTTAGTTATTTAAATTGAATCAAACAAATATTCAAAATCGTAAATTGTATTCAAATTGAAAATATTTGTCAAATAACTTTATTGAATCAAATCTAAAATTAAATACATAAAACAATAACTAAAAATAGTTACACTTCTTGTTCTTGATGCACTTTTTTTTAGTTTTTTTATTTATTTATGCGTTCTTGTGCATTACTTCACATAGCAAAAAAATGTAGATATTGTTCCATAAGGAATGATCGGGTGATGTCGTGTGCATTCGTGACCGTAAAGTTATAAGTTCAAACTTTTGATATATTCATATTTTTTGCGTTACACATGGTTCGACGAACCAGAGGGTGTACCCAGAGCGTGGATGTCGGGGCGGCGGGGGTTGAGTAGTTTGGAGATTATAATCCCATTGAATTCAATATTTTGAATTAGATAGTTCCAAATAAAATTTAAAAACACAAATAAACGAAGAGAAGATCATCAACAGAACTCAAAAGCCATAAACCTTTTCAAGACAAATGCAACCTTACAACAATCATCATCGTCGCAATCTAAACCTATACATCCGAAGGAGCATTCGCTCTCTGAATCTGATCCAAATACGAATCAATAACTGCGACGCTGCTCTCTTTCGTCGCAAGTGGCTTAGAACTCACCTTAACCACGACGCAAAACGCAAAATCTGCAAAGATCTCATTTCTTGAAAAATTCAAGAACTTGTCGGTAAGGCTATAAACTCTCAAAGCAAACAGAAGATAACTTGGATCACTTTTCTGGTACAGCATGTAGAAACTATTCCTCTTCCCTATTTCTTCCCCATACTCATCGTACACAGTTTGCTCCACTCCGTCGCTCTTCCATTTCCCCTCGCCGCATCTGCGAAAACGTCGATTGATCCAATCCTTCTCATCGGTTAGAAAGTAAATTTCTTGATTACAAGGATGGTTGATGAACATGCTCAATGGAGTGTTATCGCCGCAGACATCTAAAACAGGGATTTCGAAATCGAACTTCGCCGGCAATATGACTCTGTTTACGCCCTGCAAGTTAAGAAGATAGAGTATGATTTCTTGATCGGATAGTCGAAAACTCATGCGGTACGCGGCGTCGTTGACGACGGCGACGGTATTGGAAGAGCTTGTTGTAGGGATTACTCGCGATCGGATGATTTGATCGAGGAAGTTGTGGACGTCGAATCGGCGATTTGGTTTCGACGGAAGTTTGTCGGCGCGTCCGATGGTGATGTCCTCTTTGGTGACAATGTA